AGAGGAATTGTTGGATCTCTACTCTACCTTACTGCAAGCCGTCCGGATATCTCATATGCAGTAGGTGTTTGTGCCAGATTCCAGTCAAAGCCAAAGGAAAGTCATCTGATAGCAGCTAAAAGAATTCTTAGATACCTCAAAGGAACTCAGAACATGGGTTTGTGGTATGCTAAGAGCAATTCATTTGAGTTAGTGGGATACTCAGATTCTGACTTTGCCGGATGCAAAGTTGACCGGAAAAGTACATCTGGTACTTGTCAATTCATTGGTGGAAATCTTGTTTCTTGGTTCAGTAAGAAACAAAACTCCATTTCTACATCAACAGCAGAAGCAGAGTACATTGCTGCTGGTAGTTGTTGTGCTCAAATTCTGTGGCTGAAGCAACAACTACTGGACTATGGAGTCAAGACAAAGGAAGTGACAATCTTTTGTGACAATCAAAGTGCTATAGCCATCTCACAAAATCCAGTGCATCATTCTCGCACTAAGCACATTGATGTCAAGCATCACTTCATCAGAGATCACGTGGAAAAGAAAGATATCAAAATTGAGTATATCTCAACTGAAGAACAACTGGCGGATATCTTCACCGAACCACTAAGTGAAGCCAAGTTTTCCGATTTGCTTCACAAAATTGGTCTAATTCAATTAGACTGAGTGTGGTACACGTGGCAGTTCATTTTCCACGTCTGTCAAAATGGTGGGTGGGGACGTGGCCTTGGGAACAGTTAAAAACCCAATCGCCACTAGGCGCATAAATCGTCCAAATTAAACCCAATCGTCACTATAATCAGACCTCAACTGCCCACTCAGCCCACTCAAATTTTTCATCGTCTTCTTCGCGAGAACCTTCTGATAAAATTCTCAAGAACCCTAATTTCTTCAGATCTTCTCACTCAAATTTCTGAGAAAATGAAGATTGTTGGCGCTAATATCCATTTCTAGAAGTTGGATGCCAAGTGCTCCTCACCAACGTTCTATCAATCCTATCTGGAGATGATTGCTGCTCAAGAGCTCTCCGAATTCCTTCATATGGAGATTCGATTCAAGTATGAGAACGAAGTTCTTGAATTCTACAAGAATGGAAAGGTCAAGACTGTCAAATCGAAGAAAGACCCACAGAGGACGATTCAAGTCATCAATTCCACTGTTGAAGGGACCAAAGTGAAGCTTTCGCAGAAGAATTTGGGAGAAAAGCTTCACCTTCCCATTTCTAGAGTTGAAATTGGGAGACTTCCAGCCAAGAATCTCGATTGGAATATTATTGGAATCTCTGGGCAAGCTCCCTCTGGCCCAGCGAAGAAAACTAAGCTGAATAACGACTACAAGCTAGTCCTTGAACTGGTCATCGCATGCCTCGAATGTGGAAGTGGAGGACATGCTGATGACATCACCCAAGAGAGGGCCTTCATCATCAATGCCCTCATTACCAAGTCTAAGGTAAATTGGGCTGCACATTTCTTCAATTCCATCTCAAAGCATCTGGGAAAACCCAACCAGAAATACCTTTGTCAAGGTCTGTACATTGGACATATCTTGGAGTCCTTGGGTGCTGCTTCTGAAGGAAAGAAGTATGAAGCCAGATATTGGCTGTACTATCTGTCTTCCAAAGGGGAAAACAGAGCTGGTGCTAGCACAACTGCAGAAGAAAGTTCTTCAGACAATGTTCTTATCATGAGTCTGAACAAATCAGTAAAGAGGAAGCAAGTGGTGTCTCCCTCTCCCAGTGCTGAAGCACCACAGAATCTTGCTCCGATCAATATTGAAGAAGAAGAAGAAGAATTCTCTGCCCAAGAAGAGCTACAAAGGAAAAAGAAGAGGAAAATCACCTCTCCCTCAACATCTGGATATGTCAATCCAGATGAGTTGAAGGAGAAGGAACCAGCTGAGGAAACCTCTGCCCAGAACCAGAGTCCTCAACAGCTTGAAGAAGAAATTCCTCAAGTTCAGAATTCTCCAACTTCCTCACAACCTCAAATTGATGACGCTGATAACCAATTCTGGCAGCTCTACTATGATTGGAGAGCCTGGAAAGTTGGAAATTTAGCAGAGCAACTGTTGGATTGGGACCAACAACTGAAAAATGAGAAGATTATCAAAAAATGCCTAGGACCAGTCAACCATAGCTGTGAAGAAATCTTGGATGACTACTGGGTATGGAAAAGGAACCAAGAAGACCTGCATCTGGAACACTTGGATACCACACCAATTTCAGAATTTGAAGTGGAAGATGAGGATCATGCAGTCTACAAACCAGTCCTCTCAAAAACCACAGAAGATCAGGTGGTTCTCACTTCTGAAGCACAGGCTAACTTGGAAACAACATGAAGAACTGTTCTACCTCATCTGCCTTTGAAACTGTTCTACCTGAAGCTGCAGTTTCTACTCCACAAAAACAGAACCAGGAAGGATCAAATGAAGAACTCCAACAACTTCTCCATTCTCAATCTTTAGAGATTCTCACAAATTCTGGAAATCGCAAGATGGAAGTGGTTCTTCAACAACACAGTCCATCCTTGATTCAAGAGCTCCCTATTGCAGTCAAAGAAGGAGAAGTCTCTTACATTCCTACGCATCTAAACTTGACTGATCTAGTCCTTGAAGCTCAGAGAAGTAATCCGAAAAACTCAACACAGCGTCTATCCAGCTCGGGATTGGATGGAATAGAGGCTGTAGGAACAATTGCTGCTCACTTCTCAAATGATAACCAAACAGAGGAGAGACGCAACAACATAAGGCGCATCAAAGAACTATGTGGAAACATGCAAGGCATCAGGGAGATTTCCGAATCTTCAAAGCGCAAGAAGCACTGAAGGCTTTTTTCATCAAACCAGGGGGAAAAGTATGTGAAAAAATTAATTTGCTTTGATGAAAACACCTTCTTGTTTAAACATTGCTTTATTGGTTTAAACATTGCCTTATTTCTCTTAATTGTGCTTACTATGCTTGATTATACCTATTTGAAGTATGATTTTGAGATTTATTCCTAGCACATACATTCAGGGGGAATGTAATTCAGGGGGAACTTAACCAGTTTTTGGCTAACAATTGTTTTTGGAAATGAATTATTGATGAGCTCTAAGCAATGGAAGACGGATATCTTAGTTTTGGTACTAAAATTGGAAATCTCCGATTCAGGTACTTTACAAAATCTACCTTCTTAAACTAAGCTTCAGTCCTTAATTCATTTCCAACAAGCTCTAAAAGTACTGGTCCTTAGGATTTTTAAAATGTACAGGACTGTGGAAAAATAGTACCACTTTTCTTTTAAAAATAAAATTCATATTTGTTTTGGTACTACCTCGTCCTAAGTAGAAATTAGAACTATAGGGAATGAAAAATGATAGTTTTATTTTGGGCCTTGAGAACCCAATAGGAATAATTTCCCTTTAGTACATAGCTTTCTTTTCTTTTTGGGCCACTCTTTTGGGCTTAGCCAAACTAAAACAGTTA